GAGGACTCGCGCTAGGGAGAAACTTTCTGAATGTCCTGAGTGTGGGAAAAGCTTCAGTACTAGTTCGAATGTTACCAGCCATATGAAGTTGCACGTGGGAGAGAAAGGGTGCGAGTGTCCGGATTGTGGGAAACGTTTCAGTCGGAATTCCCACCTGGTGATACCCCAGAGGAGTCAAACTAGGGAGAAACCATATGAATGTTTGGAGTGCGGGAAAAGTTTCAGTCAGTATTCCTGTGGAGACACCGTATGAATGTCCAGATTGTGGGAAAGATTTCACAACTAGCTCTAATTTAATAAGTCATGTAAGTTTGCACACGGGGGGGGGGGGGCCCCATTCAGATGCCCAAACTGTTCAGTCACAACGTCAGAGTTCAGTTAGAACTCTGCTCAAGGAGACACATGCAGGGGAAAAAACCGTCAGGGTGCTGAGTGCAAGAAAAGCTTGATCGTCCTCCTGTGATCTTAGAAAACTTCCAAGAGTCTGCCCTGGAGAGCAAGGCAAAGGATGACGTGGCCATTCCTCAGAAAGCTAGCAGGCAAAGCTGATAACAAGACCTGGCAGTGGCTAAGAGCAGGAAAGTTGAAGAAAGGGGCTAATTCTGGCTGCACAAGACCAAGCCTTGAGAACAAATGCATATAAAGCCAGAATTGAGAGGACAGCAATAGACAGTAAATGCTGCCTCTGCAAAGAAGCTGAAGAAACAGTGGACCACAAACAGTGGCACGCCAAAGTAGTTACAATGGTGCATTGGAATATCTGCAAGAAATATGATTTGCCTGCAAGCAAGAACTGGTGGGACCACAAAACTGACAAAGTAATAGAAAATGAAAAAGCTAAAGTGCTCTGGGACTTTAGAATTCAAACACTGCCCTGGAGAGAAACCATTGTTTGCTTCTGGCTGGCCAGATTATTTTCAGCGAAAGAGGCAACCTTATTAGATCTAGGAGACTTAACTAGAAGAAATACTCTGGAGACAAAAGGATTTGCTTGCAAAAATCAGTGGATCAGTAGATGATAAACCTATGAGGGCCAAACAGGATTTCAAGAAGAGCTCTGTGAAAGGAAAGTGAGAATATGAAAATAACAGTGCAAAATGGAAATATTCCAAAGGTATCAAAACCATTCTTATTATATCAAATTTGATGTACTATACAAATATATAGAGACGGAAAAAGTCATAGGTGAGCTCTAATTGCAGCCAAAGTTTTAATTAGGATTGTCGCTAATTAAGCATAACAGAAACTGTTTGGGAGGAGATACGACATAGCCAGTCAGAGAGCTGGGAGGGATCTCTGCATCCTCTAGTCTAACCCTTTCCAGGGCAGGAAGTCCACTGCTCCAGCATTTGTGTTCAAAAGGTGGGCTGAGCTTCACTTGCAACACATTGTTCCCGGAGTGTAATTGAGGAACGCTGAGTTACTGAAAACGGCACACAAGATTGTAGGGATTATAGAATGTACTGTGAACGTGATTTGTCGTGTGAAGATGGTGCTGAACGAGGAGACTCATGGCCGTTCCTCATACTTGCGGCTGTGACAGTGTCCTTGCAGTCACATGATTGTGATTTGGATGCTTGGCAACCAGCGCATGTTTATGACGGTTGCGGCCAGCTTCTGAGAAGCAAAATCAGTGGAAGCTAGCAGGAAACCATGGGTGATTTGCTTAACAATCACATCTTAAGTCAACGCAGTCACGTGATGTTTTGCTTTAGAAGTGCATCATTTTTAGCGACAGGGTTTCTGGTCCCCATTGTGGTTAGAAATGGCCTTTGCTGGTAGCTGTTAACCACTCCAAGATAATACGAATGGTTGCATTGCCCCTGCCTGGGTGCTACGATGGTCCAGTAACGTTTCTAAAGATACGCTGTTTCATGAGAACCATTATGTTGTGATAGCCCCTCAAATTGCACAGTTTGTTGTAGGTTATTTCATTAAATGTGGGTACACCTAGGTTCCATGTAGGCATGTGTGTGTGTATAAAGTATTATTACGTGGTTCCTTGCATGTACAAAAATGAGTATTTAGTAGGTTTCAGTACCTTCTTTTTAATTAAAATATAAATAATGTACCGCAGCGGATGCTTTTTAAAGACCTTGTCTTAAATATTTGTAGAAGTTTCTTCCCCCCAGAAAAGCCTAAGAGATGACTGTAATTTGTTTGACTAAAACATTTAAGTACTCTGCAGTGTGGTCTCATCTCCAGATCAAACGTTTCAATTCATTTGTTTTGTATTTGGTTGTCCTCCAGATTTCTTGAACTTTCTGTGGCTTATCATCTGGGAGAATTTGATTGGTATATAATGCTATTTTTTCAATCATCACTAACATTTTAGTAAAAAAAGAGAGAGAACGATAAATCCTACTTGCCCGTTATTGACCGGCAATTGGAGATTGAGTCTTCCTGGTAGAAGTCAAACACTGCCTACCAAATGACACCATCCCGGCTCTGAGCTTTCTATGATGTGCCAGTGCCTGGGAGAAAAAGATCTCTATTTGCCTTTCGAAGAGATAAAGGGTGTTGCTGTGATATATGCAAAGATAAAAGAATTTCAGATCAAGGGACAGGCCTGGGAGCACTGATAATTCCATGCAGTCGGGAAAGAGACATTGGTATGTGCACGATAGCTGGGTTGGTTGGTCTCCAAAGAGGCTTAAGTGGTTGGAATAAAATCTTGCATGGAGCATTTCTGTTTAGAATTCTATCCAGCCAAACATGCTGCTTCTGGTTATTCCATTACATTCTCCCCTTCCCAATTTTCGGGATTCCTCTGAATTCCCTGTCTGTCCTCAGAAAAAAAAGAAAAAAAAATCCTGGCATACAATGAAGTGACAAAAAAGGATGAAAATTTGAATGAACATTTTGCCCCCTTGGCACTCCAGTTTCAAAAAGGGTCTTGCAGTTTGGCTCCCTCAGATGGAATTGTGTAGCAGGCAGTAAAAAACTTGGTCTGTTGGTCCACTCTCATTCCCGTGGATCCCATCTGGACCATGGAGCCGTTGAGGATCTGGGTACTGCTTGCCAACTGTACATTGTCAAAAACTCCCTGTTACTCTGCACAGAGATGAGGAATGTGGAAGGGAAATTTTGGTCTGGGTTTCTCTGAGGCACGGACTTCAAACCATGATCAATTTCCAAGAAGAGTTTTATTCTGTTGGCCGAGCCGACGCAATTCCCAAATAGGAATGTCTGATGACAATTCCTTGATAGAAAGAAGGGCGGAAGGCAAATTGTGGGGTTTTTTTCAATTTCTTTCTTGTTTCTCTATCTCTTATTTTCTATTTATAACTTTGTTTTTGTTTGTTTTGTATATATAATTCATTAAACATTTCTAATTACAAAAAGGAATGTGTGTCACTCAGAAGTGTATCGTGACTTTTTATACACTTGCATGCACATGCATAGTACTACCCTTTTTGCAACCCTTTGAAACGTTTCTTTGGAAACTTTATCAGTTTCTTTTACCATATGTAGAGAGTCACCCCCTCTTTCTAAGCCCCCTTTTTCTAGGCCCTGCTGCGTATGTGTGTCTCTTGCTTTGACCTAATGGGGACTTCTCTGCAAGCAAATTTACAGAAGCACGTGGCATTGAGCCTTTAGGAGATCTAAAATTTCCTCCCTCAGGAAAAAGCTGACTTGCTGGGAAGACCAGCTTTGAAGCAGCCCTGGCCAGGATGAGTGAAGCTGGTTCTCCTGGAGTGTCTGGCCTGTTGGTGCTCCCAGGTCCTAAATCCTTGGAAATCAGGAATAAAGTTTTAGGATGGAGAGAGATTTTGGTCTCCACTGAGAGCCAACCCCTGCGAAAGCGCAGGAATCCTTAGATCAGCTTTTGATCTGCAAACTAGGGCCCTCCAAGTGTTTTGCCCAGGCTGCCTGGGAATGATCACAGCTGAAATCTTCTGAGAATTGGGAAGGCTGCCCATAGCAATTCTGCCCTCTACAGAGATTTCGGCTCCGCAATGATACGGATAGGAAGACAATTCCTCCTATCCAGATTTGGTTTGGCAGCAATACTGATGGGCGCTTCCAGGTTTGGTCACGTGGTTCATTCTTCTATTAACAGGAGGACGCTGGCAATCATTTAGGGAGTGCGCACACCAACAAGTACTTTGTGAACTTTTAGGGTCCAGCACCTGGCTAGTCTTGAAAAGCTTAGCAGGGTCAAGATTCACTCTTCAGGCTTCGCTCAGTTGCAGAGGAACATTTTGAGGCATTATCCTGCACCCCCATGACGAATCGCTGGCTGGAACAGGCTCCACCGACTTTATATCTGCACACCGTTTGCCCCCCAAGGATGCTCCCTTGGTTTGGTTCTCACTTCTGCCAAACGAAGCTCCTTCCTCATTTGCAGTGGGGATGAGAGCACCCTTGGGACACATGAAAGAACAGGATAGGGATAGGTCGTCATGGAGGAAATCAATGGATCGATGTCATCACTAGGAGTCGAACACAACTTGATGGTACATAATCAAAACATCTTGCAAGTGCCTTAGGGTAGAGATCGGATGAGTGTGTTTAGCAGCCCTATGTCGCTAGGTGGCGTTGTATACAGAAGCACAGCTGGCCCCTACAAAGCTGTTGATACAGCAGCGGCCGCTGAGTCCTGACATCCAATGGGAGAGGAGCGGCCGAGCTGAAGGGAGTTAAAGGAATAAAGGATTGGATTGCTAGAGGGGACGTGGGAGGAGAGGAGAAGGGCAGAGGAACTTCTTCCAGCTTCCCCATGGGAGGGTAGTGGGGTGCGTGTCTCTCCCTTGCTCTTCCCAGGGTTGAAGCAGCAGCTGGCAGGTGAGTGAAGGAGAGCTCGGAGGAGAGGCCGGGAGCAAGCAGGGCTGCATTGTCTCCTCCATGGTGCCGAATCTGATGAGCAACTATGCTGAAAAATGTTGGCTGCTCCATTTTCCTTCCCTCCCCAAATTTTATTCCTCGGGTGCTGCAGGCTTTAAAACTGGTGCAAGGAATTTTCTGGTGGTTGGGAGATTTAAAGAGTCTCTTTCACATTAGGGTTGACTCCTTGTCATGTTTGCTTGGCAACAATATGGGACTGATCTGCCACTGCTGTCTTCTTGGATTTTTTTTTTTTTACTTCCAACTCGAGGAAACAAACATGGGATTTCCTTGTAGTCTCCCATCCATGTATTGACCCGGTTCAACTTTGATTAATCCAGCACTTGTTATTTTTAGTAGCCATTGTGGACCATTTGGGATCTTCAGTTGCATAGGTAGTTCTTACTTATCAGTTGTTCAGTGACCACTTGAACTTGAACAACGCTGAAAAAGGAGACTTACAACTGGTCCTTGAAGTTGTGGACATTGCAGCAATTCCGGTGGTGGTAACTGGTGCATATTTATGAGGGTCGGAATATTCTGCAGTCACGTAATTGCCATTTGCAACTTTCACAACCATCTTCCAAGAAGCAAAATCAGCTCGGAACCTGGCAGGAAGTTTTATGTCCTGGTCATGTGGCATTAGGCTAAATGACCCTCAGAGATTTGCTTAACGACTCCAGCCTGAGCTGTTTTTGTAAGTCAGTGTAGTCATGTGATGTGTGTAATGATCGTGGCACCAGCCCCAATTGAGGTCAGTAAGTGAGGACTACCTGTATTGTGATGTGACCAGAGTGATTGTGGACAGTATTTTCTGCCTTTTTCTTATTTGGAGCTGAGGAGTTTAATGGGCAAAACCTGTGCTTTAAATCTTGCAGAGGCTTTGGACACCATTTGGTATATTTGCTTTTTCTTTGTAATGTATGCTTTTTTCCCCTTGTTTTCACATGTCGTGCAGCCATTTTTTAAACAATAATTAAACTAACATTTTTATCTTATAGACAAGAGGAGGCCAATAAGAACATTCTGCACAACTGAGAATTACAAGAAGCATTAAAAAGGAAAGCAAATCAAGCCAGCAATCAAAATCTTTTCCACTTCCCAGAGAACAAGAAAACTCATTTCCTTCCCCAGCAGGTGACAGACAAGGGAGAGAAAAACAGGAAGAGAGTTTTGAGCTGGAAAAAATTGAGTATGTGGAACTCAAGGAAACATTACATGAAAAGGTCAAGGGGGATAATTTCCAAATTCATAAAAAGAAGGAAATTCCTGGATGTCAGTGGGGACAAAGAGGTCACATTGATAGCCCTGTAGGGCAGAGAGTAATGCAAGCCTCACCCTATGAGGAAGGAAACAGTGGCTTGAATCAAAGCATCATCCAACAAGGGATCAGAAATATTTTTGACCTCCTTGAGAATCCAAGAATATAAGCGGTGGAAAAGCTCCACAGATCATATTGTGGAAAAAGCACAGACTGCAGATCACAGCAGATTACACATGAGAGGATCCACAGTGGAAAAAAGCTGTATGGATGCTCCAAGTGTAAGAAGGTCTTTTGCTACAGCTCCCAACTTTTTGAGCATAAAAGGACCCACATTGGAAAGAAGCCCTACCAATGCTTGTAGTGTGGTTTGCAATGTGGGTAACATGCCACCCTGATGAGCCACAAGAGGACTCACACTGAGGAGAAACTGTTTGAATGTCCTGAGTGTGGGAAAAGCTTCAATACTAATTCAAATTTTACCAGCCATATGAAGTTGCACAAAGGAGAGAAACCGTATGAGTGTCCGGACTGTGGAAAGAGTTTCAGTCAGAATTGCAACCTGGTGAAACACCAGAGGACTCACACAGGAGAGAAACCGTATGAGTGTCCGGATTGTGGGAAAAGTTTCAGTCGGAATTGCCACCTTGTGATACACCAGAGGACTCACACAGGAGAGAAACCGTATGAGTGTCCGGATTGTGGGAAAAGTTTCAGTCGGAATTGCCACCTTGTGATACACCAGAGGACTCACACAGGAGAGAAACCGTATGAGTGTCCGGATTGTGGGAAAAGTTTCAGTCGGAATTGCCACCTTGTGATACACCAGAGGACTCACACAGGAGAGAAACCGTATGAGTGTCCGGATTGTGGGAAAAGTTTCAGTCGGAATTGCCACCTTGTGATACACCAGAGGACTCACACAGGAGAGAAACCGTATGAGTGTCCGGATTGTGGGAAAAGTTTCAGTCGGAATTGCCACCTTGTGATACACCAGAGGACTCACACAGGAGAGAAACCGTATGAGTGTCTGGTTTGTGGGAGAGGTTTCAGTCGGAATTCCATCCTGGGAATACACCAGAGGACTCATACTGGCGAGAAACCTTATGAATGTCCAGATTGTGGGAAAAGGTTCAGTCAGAATTATCACCTGGTGATACACCAGAGGACTCACACTGGGGAGAAACCGTATGAGTGTCCGGATTGTGGGAAAAGTTTCAGTCAGAATTCTAGATTGGTGATACACCAGAGGACTCACACTGGGGAGAAACCTTATGAGTGTCAAAATTGTGGGAAAAGTTTCAGTCAGAATTACCACCTGGTGATACACCAGAGGACTCACACCGGGGAGAAACCATATGAATGTTTGGATTGTGGGAAAAGTTTCAGTCAGAATTCTGACCTGGTGAAACACCAGAGGACTCACACAGGAGAGAAACCATATGAGTGTCTGGATTGTGGGAAAGGTTTCAGTCGGAATTCCGACCTGGTGATACACCAGAGGACTCACACTGGGGAGAAACCATATGAGTGTCCAGACTGTGGGAAAGATTTCATTAGTAGGTCTACCCTTATTAATCATGTAGGTTTACACACTGGGGAGAAACCATTCAAATGTCCAGACTGCGAACGGTGCTTCAATCAAAATTCCTCCCTGGTCTCACACAAGAAGATTCACATGAGGCAGAAGGCGATGAGTGTAGAGAAGGCTTGAATTTCATTTCTGGTCCCCCATTGGAAATCCAGTTGAGAAATTAACTAATTTCTGGCCTGATTTTCTTTAGTCAAGCATATCTCAGTACTGGACATGAGGGAAGAGAGGTATAAATGGCAAACACACGTCTGGCTATCAGTAGAACTTACTGGATATTTAGTTTTGCAGAAATAGTGCAATTGATGCAAAAAGGCTCCAGTAGGAAGAAATTGATATGAGAGGAGAGGTTAACAGGGTTCAAAGTTCATCTTTTCCTAACGCCTTCAGAAATTCAGTGCAAGGAGTATCAGATTGTGGCTAGGATGAATCAGAAATATCAAAGAAACTATTAAAATGGAGAATATATTAAGGACGTTTGTGGCAGTGACAAAGCACTGTAAAATTTCAGATATAAAGGCTGCTCTGAATTGCAAATGAACATGATGGATAAGAGCTGTAGATAAGAATATTGAGTTGAGGAGAGTCTGCTGTGATATTGTTTGCTTGAAGGTGTCTGCTTGTTAGCCTTTGATGGCTGGTGGTTGACATCAGCGCTGAGATGCTGAGATTTTTGTGGCATCCCCCTTGGTGGTGGAGACAAGAATTGTACAATGGAGAAAATTTCATGTCTACAAATGCATTGCGTAAGACCCATTAATAGCTTCTGACAAGGAAAAAAATGGGCAGTGTCAGGGTTGCTGTGAATGTGGGGGCAAGATAATTACAGCTCTATCCCCAACACATGGGAGACATTTCCATTTCTTTCACTCCTATCTCAGGGATTCTTTTGAACTGTTTCCAAAAAATCCCTTCAAGTAAAGGGAGGAAAATTATTTGGAGCAGCAAAGTGGCATTTTACCTATCCAGATGAATGATCCTGATTTTACTGAGTTTAGAGGACACCAAAGAATTCAAGGTTTGTTCATTTCAGTAACACAATTCAGAGATCAGGTGATAATACTTTTTTTTCCTAGTAGATCACATTGCATATGATCACTTTGCAGAAGGACATCCAACAACCAGTATCACACCAAGGGTGAGGAGAAACCAATCTCCAAATAGGTTCAGATTTAAACATTTGCAAAGCTTTTAAACTGTAAACTATTCAAATTCTATTTAATTCTCTCTTCCTTTCTCTCTCTCGCTCTTTTTTGGTGCCAGGTTTTTGTGCACACCTCTTTTCATGTCACATTTTATTATGGTTAGGAGCTGCAAACACTTGAAATGGTTGAACAGCCTCTGGATCTTTGAGAGGGCCAGACCATTATGGAAAGCCTTGCATTCTAAAACAGTGTTTAGAGCTCACCCCAGTGAGGTCAAATTATACTTTGTGTCTACAGAATAGTGATGTCTTTGGGGAATAAAATGGAAATTGGGAGAGAGGGAATGGAATGAATAACTTGGAAGAGGTCATTGCTGGCTGGCTACTGCAATTGTTTATTGCAGGTAGTGTGTTTCTTTTGAATACCTTTCTGTGAAGACTTCATTTTTTTCCCCTTTTGGGAGATGTCCCATGTGTACAACCAAACCCACAGAAGGTAAGAAAGTGGGGCAGTGGATGTGAGTCTGAGGATACTAATAACAAGAATGTATGTCTTGCTTAAGAATTAAGTGCAGAAGAGAAATAAAGGAACATTAATCAAATTTGAATTTGCAAAAATACAAAGTAGACACATTAAAACTGACACTAAGGCAATAATGGAGTACCCAACTAGTATTTGTTGTTGTTGTTCAATTGTTAAGTTGTGTCCAACTCTTCATGACCCCATGAACCATATCATGCCAGGCCTTCCTGTCCTTCACTGCCTCTCAGAGTCTGTTCAACTTCATGTTAATTGCTTCAGTGATGCTCTAGCCATCTCATCCTCTGCCGTCCCCTTCTCCTTTTTCCTTCAATCTTTCCCAGCATCAGGGTCTTTTCCAAAGAGTCCTTTCTTCACATTCGGTGGCCAAAATAGCTGAGCTTGAGCTTCAGTATCGATCCTTCCAATGAGCAGTCAGGGTTGATTTCCTTTAGGATTGACTGGTTTGACCTTTTAGCAGTCCAAGGGACTCTTAAGAGTCTTCTCCAGCACCACAGTTCAAAGA